GGCTGTTTCTAAAACCTGTTCTATATTTTGAAGACTCCTTTAGTTTTACACCAGCTCTGTGAGTAACACTGGGGCTACCAGGGATGGAAAGCAGCGGCAAGGAGCGGGGTGGGGGCAATCCCTCCACCTGCCAAAACACCTTTTACTTCTTCAAGGTGTCCAGCGGGAGCAGGACCGTTGGAAAACCATTGGTGGTGCTGCAGAGGTGCTGCTGTTACCTGGAGTCTGCCCCTCAGGCCGCCGAGGTCGCAGCCCTCGCCCAGGGCCGCCTGCACCGCGTGGGTGATAACGTGGCACATGCAGGCCCGGGGGCTCTGGGACACCTGAGCTGCCTCTGTGTCGGTGAGCAGAGCATTGCAGATGGCTTCAGGGAGCAGCTCTGGGTCAGCAAAGATGAAAATCCTGTGTGGGGCAGGAGGGTGGGGAAAAAGAGAGGGAGAGGAGAGGATTCCCCGTTACTGACGTCACAGAGTCCCAGGATATGCTGAGTTCCCACAAGGATCATCCAGTCCAACCCTCAGCCCTGCACAGGCCCATCCCCAAGAGTCACCCCCTGTGCCCCAGAAGATCATCCAAAGCCTCCTGCAGCTCTGGCAGCCTTGGGGCTGTGCCCACTGCCCTGGGGAGCCTGTTCAGTGCCCAACCAGCCTGTGGGGGAAGAACCTTTTGCTGAGATCCACCCTGAACCTGCCCTGACACAGCTCCAGCCATTCCCTGGGGGCTGTCCCTGCTCCCCCCAGAGCAGAGCTCAGTCCTGCCCCTCCTCTGCCCCTCATGAAGAAGTTGTAGACTGAGCAGCTCACGTCTCCCTTATTCCATGTAGAGAAAAAAGTGTTGCTGTTGATATTCCCCTTCTCCACCCTGTCTCCCCACAAAGGGAAGCTCCCTGACTCCCAGGACCACAGAAATAAATTGGGACACACAAGAGGAATATGCTCCTCCCACAGCAAAGCTCATTTTGGCAAGGTACTGGATGCCACCAAATTGTGTCCCCCAAGACCACGTACCGCCACAGGAGTGAGGTCCAGATTGTCTGTTCCATCCAAGATTAATTTAGAGCACTGGAAAAGGATGGATTTCACTAAGAGACTGCAAAATGAAAGTATCAACACATTCAAAGAGGCACTACTCACTTTTCCTGGTAAGGGTACGGGTCGCTTTTCAGGCTTTGTTCAGAAATGACCATTCTTTGGTACAAGGTACCTGGCAAGTGCAAGGAGAT